CAACAACTATCTTTGAATGCATTTCTTTCCCCATAGGGTCAGTTTCGTTCCCCCAACAATGAAATTCAGAACGACGATATGCCGGAGAGTTTGAAAAAGATCCATAAAGATTCTTCGAGGAAATTTAATATGAGAAACAGGCTCATGAAGAAAGCTTGCACCAAAGACGCAGAGGTAAGGGTCAACATCTGTTTTGTAGATCGATTTTTTTTTAAATTTTAAATGAACATATAGTCTAGAGTTCATCACATTTGATAATGAATTAGCTATTAGGTATGAACAAAATTAATTAAGGAGGCAAGAGAACTGGTTGACGGATTTAAAATCTTGGACGTGGTCACCCCATACTGTCCTTCGTGATTCGTTTCCTTTTCTCCATGCTTGCCAAACAGTGAACTTTGCATATTCTCGTGATTTATTAAGAAATTGCCATTTTCTTCTAGATCTGCCATTTCCTTGAGGAGGGTCTTGCCAAAGAGGCCGAAAGGATGTACGAAATGAAGAGCTACCAGACCATTGCAACGGGTCTGATGTCCTCAGGCGTGGGGCTCAGTCTGTTTGACGCTAGCTTGTAAATTTGCCACTTGTCTTTCGATATTTTAGTTGGTTATGGATTCCTTTGTTGTGAGTCGTTCAAGTTTCTCTAATGTGACTTCTAGCGAAAGCACAATGATATTCAGGCTGTGTGATTCGATTTTTTTTTCACTCGATAGCGCATTCTTCTTGCTTTTACTGTTTACTTTCATAACGGATGAATGTGTCAGTTATATTATTATCCCACAACTTATGTATGTAGAACACACTTAAACTCTGTTTAAGAACAGTTATCATTAATTTTGATGATAAACGACATGTAATACCAGCCTTCAATAAAATGACAGAAGCGATATATATTTTTTTTCATGACATGTACATGAGAGTAAAATATCAAATATCAACGTATGAACTAAATCAATGCATTAAACGTGTCTTTCTTTTTCTCAATAAAAATGTCTCCTATATCAGCTTAACTGCTAAACAGCTAAACACAATAAGCTAAAGTACAAAAGTTATTAGACAATATGTAATAAATTTGTTTTTCCAACGCCGTGATGGCCGAGCTCTGACGAAACAAATATCAAATTGGCAAACCAAAGTAGCTCATCACCCATTTATATGCACTAAAGAGACACCTTGGCCAAGTGCAGATCCCACAGCGAAGCGAAGAGAGCTACTTGGAAAAGAGGATCAAGGAATGCGGATATTAGTCTCAAAAATAAATTAAACACATTTAGATTAAATGGGAAAAAATGGACGTATAGAGCTGAACAGATGTAGCCTATATATAACAGGAAAACTACATATAATAAAAATGTTCATGCTTCAGGCAACAGAATTGTACAACTGCTTATGATTCACGTACCGATCTTTTGTATGATAATGTAATATTACATAAACTAATAAAAGAATTTTGAAGCAACCTGACGAACCTAAACGTCCTGATATAACAAAGTTTTAAGAATTTCACCAATTCCGTATGTACCCATAACATCAACACCAGAGCTTACTCAACTTTAGGACACTAAATGAAATCCAGCGAAAACATGTGTAACGCTGACCGAACTATAGGTTTTTGTGCACTGAACATGAAATCCTGATAATTCGATTTTGGACACTCTTAATACTGTTCTAGGCTTTTTGGTCTTTCCCAGAATGGTTAATTAGAATCACGTTTTCTGAGCCCTGTCGACATCCAGAATACATCCAAGATTTGGAGTTTTAGGTATATGAAAATAGTACACTAAAAATATTTTGACATTTTCTGGCCCACTTGACCCTTGATACATATCTTTGCAGTAGAGTATTGCACACGATTGGCTGGATAGCAGAACGACTGGAAGGAAAACAAATAAAGTGGGTGGATGATTCATTCTCATGGAGATAGGAAATGATGATATGCTTAACATAACAGTTGCCCGGGCTGTGGCGTTATTTCAACACAATCAGCTGGAACGATCGAGGGAGAAAAAAATTTAAAAGAGCTATGTAAGCAAAAATAATCAAAGGACTAATAACAGGCCGTAGGAGTGTGGCCCTTGGGAGGGAGGGGGCAGCCCTGTGCCCGGAATGAAAAAGGGAGCAGCGCTACATAAATCATCGAGACTCCTGCAGCGCCTTCTTGTGGCTACTCATGGCAACTGGGGTCTTTGCAGTCTTTGCATTTTTCCTTTTTTCTTTTCTTTTTGAGGACAGGAGCCTCAGGAGGTACGGAGCCATGGTTCGTTGGCGCATGGATATAACCTGGCTTCATATCCATACCTGCCCCTTAGGTGACGTGATAAACAGCGTGAAAACATGGCACGATTGACGGTGACGTGATAAAACAGAGACGTGATGGAGCAATGTGATTCAGCCTTCAATGGGTGGTTCTGGGGAGGTAGTTCTTGCTAGTCCGTCTCCTGTGTAGTCTGCCGTTCATCTTTACTTCAGTTAAGTGAGAGCGGCAGAAGTGGCATCCGCCCTGAGTTATTGCCATATGTTCAGCCTCAGACGGCCATCCCAGGCTGGGGCATAGAACATCTAATCATTGTTAGGGTGACGGAACTGCCATTACTATCGAGGGGACTAGATGGAGGTGACCACCCTCTAAGAGGCGAGAGAACAGGCAGTGGCATAATTAGCGAGGATGGTTACACCTATTATTGATCAGGCTGTAACGACCTTCACCACTCATAGAGGGTAGCCACAACAACTCTAGTCGATAAGTCAATAATAGACACGGAGACCAAAACATTTGTTTGGTTTCTTATGACTTTATCGATATGCAGATTCCTACCGATGCCTGTTAAAGTGATGTAGAAAAGATGTTTTACATCAGTGGTTCCCAATCGCCGGGAGTTGCGAAACCTTGGGAAAAAATAGGTCTTTTTGCTAGTTATTCTGAAGATAACATGAAGGCATGTCTTCGTATAAAGTTGCACTGCAACTAAAGAAATAAAACACGTACAGATCCATGATTTTTTTTTACTAAAAATGTGCAATTAGAAAAATAATAGATGGAACGCGTGATGCTGGGGGTCGTGGAAGTATCGCAAGTTCGAAAAGGGGGTCGCGTGTGTAAAAATGCCAGAAAACCACTATTCTACTAAACCTAGCTTCCGTGGCAGACAAAAAAAAATCGAGTTGTACTCAGGACGACTCTAAAGTGGTAACCATCTGTGACTGAGATGGCTACATGTTTGTCGGTCCCCAAGGCTTCTTCACTTCTTCACTTTTCAAAATCCCATGGACTGATGCTTTTTTTTATTTCTGGTCTCGTGCTTCATCCTGCATTGTTTGACCTACATCAATAATGCAAGTAATGTTGCCAAGAAGATCAGCCACATCCTTGTCAGCACTTGTTGGAGGATCCCTCACAAGGTAACAAAGTTATGTGGTACCGATAATAAATTAATTGTGGTTACCACTTGGGTCCACCTGTCCGTCCAGTGACCACGCTAGGGTGTTTCATTTGAATACATTGAAGAGTGTCTTCAGAATTTTGTTATGACTATCTCCAATTGTATCACAGCACTATACATTCTGACGGACCCTCTAGAACTGCCAGTTGCAAAATATATGATGGAGTCCATTAGTAACCATCTAAGAACATGGCAGAACTTTGTCTCACTGGAGACCACAGATGCATGTTGCATTGTTGACTTACAAGAGATTGAAGCTTGCACTGATCCCTGACACTGTCAAGGATGGATGAGGAGCAGCATATCAGGAATCTTGCTAATGAGGTCAAAAACCATTTCTTAGTAAATAACCTTTGAGCTTACAAACCCCAAGAAAGCTGCTGAATAAAAAAATCCCTCATGACACTGACTGTAGTTCCTTTGTCATCTCAGATCACACTGGGGTGTGATAGCTTTGGGCTGAGTATTTGGAGTAGTTTCTGGTTGAGCCACCAATAGTTATCTTGGACTAGGTGGTGCGAGGTTCCAGTGCTTAATACCCAAGGAAGTACTTCTCTAGCCTTCCTTCCTATCCTGACAAAAGTAAGAAAAGCAATCTCTAATCTGAAGGTTGGTAAAGTGGTGGGTATCTGCAGCATCCCTGCTGAACTGCTGAAGTCTTGCTGTGATTCCATGGCACGTGGATTGCATGCTGCCCTGGCTGCCATCAATCAGTCGGGCAATCTTCCCCAGACCTGCTGAGGGATGTGGTCATCCCAGTTTGGAATGGGAATAGGAGTTGGCATGCCTAGCATACCAAGCAAGGACTAGCTCTCAAACATTCTCAGCTATAACAGAGACTACCTATTGAGGCACCAGTGACAGAACAATCGGAAATCACTTCTAACAGATTTACAATAGACTATATCCTTGGACTTTGAGTCATTGTAGAGTCCACTGGTAGTTCAAGTGGAAGCTACTTACAGCCTATATTGACCTTGAGAAGGCATTCTTCTCTCTGCATCATTAATCACTCAAGATCCTCAGATTCTGAGGAATTCTGACAATTATTACTGGATTCATAACAATCCTACGTGATGGTACTCAAAGGTCTAAAATGTAGTGGGGCATGTCTGGCATCTTTCCTTTGAATTCAGAACGAGATAGGGTTGTTTTCTCACACCAACACTTTTCAGCATACACATAGATTGAATAATAGGTGAAGCTATCATCCTAAGTTAATACACTGAAATACTGAGTAATATCAATGTCACTGACTTTGACTTTGCTGACAGTGTTGCCATCATATCTGAGTCTCTGGAGATTCTATTTGCACCTGCCTGGAAGTTCACAAGGAAGGGTCCTTGTAGCTGGAGACAAAGTTCATGTGTCATGCACCCTCCTCAGCATTAGCCCCATTGGTTAATTATTTGTTTGAAACTATTATGACATCTATTATCATGAAAGGATGGAGATAAAAGCTTAGGACTTTCGGGGATGAAAGTACTAGGATATGTGTGATCTAACTAACTATTTTACTGATGATTTCTGGTGTCTTCTGATAGCTTACTCCTTACTAGCTTGCACAGGATAGTGTTTAACATCTGAGGTGGTAAAAATTATTCCAACACAGTTGTAGAATTCTAAGATAATACAGTATATATTCAATGTTTCATCTGTATTCAGCAGTTGTCCTGTATTGGCAGACATTTTTCCTGACATATAGACAGTCTTGGTTTGTAAAATATGTATTACTGAAAGCCACTGGGAAAATGCTGTATTCATTTTTTTGTGTGTGAAATGGCTCTGCACATAGATGGGTCTGCTAGTGCTTAGCCAGATAGGAGTCAATTAGTAGACCTTATCTGATTTCACCTTTCCCTGAATTGCTGGGATTTTTTTTTTTAATGCTATGAATGTCAATGGTGTTATTTTCATTATAGATATTATAACTACTATAATGTTATTGACATTAGTAACAGCAATATAAGACAACATAAAATAATTTAGAAAATCAAAGAAAAGGGTAAACAGGCAAGACAAGCAGTACTTGTAATAGGCTCAATGGTGACTTAGTACGTGTAGCCATCAATGTGTTAAAACAATTAATAAAGTAAACTCACAGGGGCATGGCATGTGCTTAATGTCATGCCCCAACCATCTCTGCAGCCCAACTATCTCTGAAATGACATAGGCATCATGAAGTAAGTGCTAGATATTGGTTGGGAAAAATGTGTTTTTTCTCAATAAGAAGACAGTAGAGCCTTAAAATTGTAAAAGGATGAGTTAAATTATGTAGACGTTTCTTCATGAGCATGGTTTGTCTTTAATTTAGGATTCTTTTTGTCTAAATTAGCAAGAGAGGAAGTGTTTACTACAGACTAAGGGCAGGGAGCATAACAGAAAAAAATGATAGAGATAATAAAAGAGAAAAAAAAAGAATAATCATATTCATAAGTATATTTCCTGATTTTAATTTCATAAATCATTACACTGCAGACAAAGATATGATACAAGAGTATTTTTTTTTTAACCTGCACTGAGATGTTTCTTATCAATATCCCGAAGTTCATTTGCATTTAAGCAATAAGCAACATTTTGCTTACACTGGGAATTATATAGTCATGGCCCAAGACTTATAATTTTCAGGTAGAAAGGTGAAAAAGAAACAAATTTAAGAATATTCATTGGCAGAAATTATAGGACAGAAACAGGTCAAGTTACTATTATCCAAAAGTTAGATCTGAAAGTCAAGTGTGATTTCTCTAGCAATGCATTATTTAAGACATATCCAGTGCAATGGACATTAAACTACAATCATGCTTCACAGTCTGCAAGAAAGAGTATGTATAACTCAAATTGTTTCCTGCATTAGGAATAGAAATATAAGGTAATACATTACAAATATAATCTGACTCTGCAAACAACTGTGATTAACAATGAAAAATACATAAAAACAGACATAGAAAATATAAGAATAAATATTTCAATCACAATGATTGGTCCCTTTGATTCTATTGATAAAATAAATGTTTATAATTGCACAATATTCAGCTGTATGATCTTTTGTTCTGAGACTAAAGCTATTCTATAAGGTTCAAGATAGAGGAAGGAAACATAATTCTACATTGTCATTCTGAATCAATAAAACAGATACTCTTGGACTACTAATCTATAAATAGCTGAGGTAACCAGTAGATTTGCTTTATCCAAAAAATAATCAGCCTGTAAAATAATCAGCCTGTTTTTCATGAAATTAAACAAAAAAAACAAAATAAATAAAATAAAATAAATATTAAATAAATAAATATAAATATGAAAAAATATTGAAACAGGTAAGAATCAGTGGTTCAAAATCCAGCTAGCAATGATTTTCTGCAATAAAATATATCACATTTGTTTCGTATATTCTAATCCATACATGAATACATCACATTCATATCATCAGTATAAATATAATATAAATCTGCATATTCACAAATGACCCCCTATCCAAAGTCAGTGATCTAATTAGCCATAAGCCTATTAGTCCCAGTCTCCGTCGCTTGCATTATTTTCCTCTTCGTTGTTCTCACTAAGAGGTGGTGGAGGTATGATTGCCGCCATCTTCTCCATTGTTGACAAACCCTCAGTTCTTCCTGGATTCTTTCCTTCATCAGTCACAGGTTTTGGGGCTCCTGATATACCCTTCAGAGGCAATACAACAATTAGTAAAGATGTTACCAGTGTTTTGCTCAGCTACAACACAACTGAGATAATGGATAATAGTCATAAAATGATCATATAAACACATATTTCAGGACAAAACTATGTAAACAAGTTCTCATCAACATTCCACCATTACATACTTTCCGTCTTTGGGATAGTCTGTTGAAGAGATCACTCATGAGGTCACCACCACCTGAAGCTGCTGCTGGAGTAGCCTGTAAAGCAAAAATGTGTGTGAAATTATATAATATGCTACAACTCTTGAAGAATAATTTTAAATCAATCAAGTATTTGTACATGAATACATCACATTCATATCATCAGTATAAATATAATATAAATCTGCATATTCACAAATGACCCCCTATCCAAAGTCAGTGATCTAATTAGCCATAAGCCTATTAGTCCCAGTCTCCGTCGCTTGCATTATTTTCCTCTTCGTTGTTCTCACTAAGAGGTGGTGGAGGTATGATTGCCGCCATCTTCTCCATTGTTGACAAACCCTCAGTTCTTCCTGGATTCTTTCCTTCATCAGTCACAGGTTTTGGGGCTCCTGATATACCCTTCAGAGGCAATACAACAATTAGTAAAGATGTTACCAGTGTTTTGCTCAGCTACAACACAACTGAGATAATGGATAATAGTCATAAAATGATCATATAAACACATATTTCAGGACAAAACTACGTAAACAAGTTCTCATCAACATTCCACCATTACATACTTTACGTCTTTGGGATAGTCTGTTGAAGAGATCACTCATGAGGTCACCACCACCTGAAGCTGCTGCTGGAGTGGCCTGTAAAGCAAAAATGTGTGTGAAATTATATAATATGCTATCACTCTTGAAGAATTATTTTAAAAAGACAGTTTTTATATACTATATCAATCAAGTATTTTTGACAGTAGTAAACTCAAGGTACAGACATAAATTTAGGAATTAATCTTAAACTTACAGCAGAAATGTTTGGATACTTTAACATATAACAATAATACCTACAAGATTGATACTGCATAATAATAATAACAATGTGGGTGATAACAACAATGGCATAGCTCTGACAATAACGAATCTAAACAATAAATAAAAAGCCCACAACAAAGTCACTAACCCCCTGAAGTGCAGTATAACTGTCAATGTCAGTATGCTCTTGCATGTCGTGCCTAAGGGCAGACAGACAGCCTTCAACTTTTGAATTTCAAGCCTCCACTTACCTCCTTCTTCTTGGTCTCCTTTTTCCTCTCTTTGCTGCTGCGAAGTTTGGCTTTTCCTGCCCCGCCTGCTTCCTGGATAGCTTTCATGAGGTTACTGCGGGCATCAGTTGTCACCGCCTCAGGAACGCCCTATGCAATGGAAAAGAATGAGTGAAGAAGAGAATGAGAGAGGATAATGGAAAGAAGAGTGGACTAGTAGGGTTCACAACAAGAGAGAGTGGCAGAGAAGTGAATGGGTGAGAAAAAGAGTAAAAGTCTGATCTTCTGATGAAATTTATTTACTGACTGATGTTCAATCTGTCCCTGAACATTTCAGTTCACAAATGACAAGGAAAAATATGGATATAGTAATGGCAACAGTCCAAGGACTCTTTTACGCTTAAATGGAGTGAAAATCTCAGTGTCAGTGCCCTATGCCTTGTATACTTCCATGACATGGCAAGGGGAAGCAGCTTTTACTTACCTCTTTCTTGGCAACAATCAGTCTTATCAAAGAATATCAAAGGGTCTATCAAAAAGTTATCTCATGGCAATGTTACTTATATGTTAAAAAATATCATAAAATATACTAGAAATCACAACAGTCCAAGGAGCTCTTTTACGCTTAAATGGAGTGAAAATCTCAGTGTCAGTGCCCTATGCCTTGTATACTCCATGACATGGCTAAGAGGAAGCAGAGCTTTTACTTACCTCTTTCTTGGCAACAATCAGTCTTATCAAAGAATATCAAAGGGTCTATCAAAAAGTTATCTCATGGCAATGTTACTTATATGTTAAAAAATATCATAAAATATACTAGAAATCACACTGTTAATAATGATCTGATTATATGCTCACTCTTATATAAAAAAAAAATTGTGAATACAATTTTATAATGATCTTTAAATGATTTTGAGCTGAACATACTACTGCTTAAGTAAAAAACAATTAATCTATTGACTAAATTTTAAAAGACAATGAATGACTATGTCAGTATTCTTTGCTCTGAAAAAAAAAGTGTTTCACCAGATTTCAGTTTTTTTAAATATCATTATGTACATGACTATCACTGTTGCTTAGTTTTGTCAATTTTGTTTACACACTGGTTGCTCCCTAAATGTTTAGTCACCAAGGATACAATAACTAGGTCTTCCTGGCTGCATCTGTTTAAAGAATTCCTTGAATTTTCATGAATAGTATTTTTTTTTCAATAATAAATAAGACAGTAGCAGTTGCTGTGGTGCAGCAGTAACACTTGCCTAGGGTCCAAGAGGGTTGGATAATAATGATAATAATAATGATAATAATAATAGTAGTAATAAGAGTAATAATAATAATAATAATAATAATAATAATAATAATAATAATAATAATAATAATAATGACCTTTTCATAAAAAAAAAAGAGGATGGGATAAAAAAATGTGATCAAGTAAGTCTTATAAGTTCTTGTGTAGCTATCTATGTATAAACAAAATGAATAAAACAAAACTACAATGGATAGTGCATGTGACCAGCACCAATGAGTTAGATGAAAAAGAAACCACAGTATTCTCTACAACAGAATTTTATACTTGTGGATGGCAAGATATTGTGTGGACTGTGATTTCTTTTATGATAAGAATTCAAAAAGGCTGTTTATTAATATTAAAACAGTACTTCATCCTTTTTTAGCCATACAAATACAGTTTCTTTTTGGCTGGTAATTACTTGTTTGAATGAAATAACATTGAAAACTGGTAGAAGATGAAACTGACAATATTCGTATTATCAATGGTGCATGCTAAAATAAAATAAATATGTTATCAATATTTCAAAATGAAGTTCTATACTAATTTCCACTAGTGAATTCCATATGGTAATGTGATTTTAGAAGGAACATGGTCACAAAGGCAATTAACTCATTAATACTGTGAGGGAGTATCTATATATGCACTGTCCACTGCAATTTTAGTTTATTAATTAAGTTTATACACAGGTGGAAGAAAAGTTTTATTCAATTATTTTTAGTATTGTTAGTGTTCCATTAATTATGTTATGGTATTAATAATGTCATTAATAATAATAACTTCAACAACAGTATAGTAAGTTAAATCCTTTTTTCATAACATTAAAAAAAATGGGATAAAGCGTTGTGGTCAGGTAAGCATACTAACTGAATCCTTAGTGATTAAACGCTTGTGAAGCCATATTTGTGTAAACAAAACTAACAAAACTTACAGTTCAAAGTAAATATACCCAGTGCAGTGATCAATTTAGTCTTATTTACAAGCGAACACTAAATAATCACACTTATTTCTGTAAGAGACTATTACTGCGGATAGTATAAATGCACTCCTGCCGTCCCTGTATTAGAGGTCCCATTTTTTGTCTTCCAATGATAAAAAAAAAAAGAAAGAAAGAAAGAAAGAAAGAAAGAAAGAAAGAAAGAAGAAGAAGAAGAAGAAGAAGAAGAAGAAGAAGAAGAAGAAAGAAAGAAAAGAAAATATCTCTTACTGATTTTGAAGGAAACTTGGTAGCAACATGAGTGATCAATGGTATTAGTAAATGAATATGTAAATAAATAATAAGTAAATGAATTCCTAGCAATAAGCAAAATTCTGCCTACCCACTCTCTCCATTTTTACCATGCTAGTGGAACCTCAAAACATTTTTCACTTATCCTAAACTAATCCATGCCTTTTTGACTGACAAATCCCTTCCCTAGCAGTATGATAGTGAAGGATACCTTTGGCGCTGCTGATTCTCCACTAGTGTCCCCGGGAGCGGTTGCTAATGGAGCTGGAGGAGGTGGAGGAGGTGGCGGAGGAGGAGGTGGCGGTGGAGGAGGAGGTGGTGCTCCACTCGCAGGGGGAGCGGGTGGAGGTGGTGGAGGTGAAGCAACACTACTACCATCAGGTGGCATCTGCGCTGGAGGCTGAGAAGTGATGGCTGGGGGTGGTGGAGGTGGAGGCTGAGTGTTTGAGTTCACATCTGGTGGAGGTGGTGGAGGAGGCTCTAGGGAAGTGGATGCTGCTGTAACTTGTGTGTCTGGTCCTTCCAAGGAAAATGTTGGTAGATCAGGCATTCCAACTGATGGTGCTATTGCTGGTCCAATATCAGCATCATAGAGGAGATCATTAGCAATACCTGAAAAACAACAACAATGATCAGAGAAATGTGCTAAAAAAAAAAAAAAAAAAGGCAATATGGTAATTTACACAAAAGTGTCTGATCTAAAAAGGTAGGTTATAATCATGAACAATACTCAATAATTTCAAAATACAGAAATTAACTACATGAAAAATCTATGTATACACAAAAATCCTGAAAACTCAAAGAGGGGGATATCAGGTGAAGTTACATAGACTAACTGAGCAATTGTGGAGCCATCTATGTCTAGCTTCATTTCACCAAATAGTACTGCAGTAACTACATTTTCCTGTTGGCAATGGGTTAAGATTTTACAGTATAATAATTTTTCAATGCCATGGATAAAGAGGAAAACAATATGTGACTATTTTCAAGAATATGGAAATAGAAACAAAAGGAAAAATAAGTAATTATCTATGAAGAAACAAAAGTGAGCAAGGGAGCCAAAGCACACATGCTCACACGCTAATACAGTTATATTCAACTGAAACACTGACCGGGGAGCGAGGGTAATTCCATGGGCAGATCTAGATCAGGGAGGTCTGATAAATCTGGGAGGTACTGGTACTCATCCTTTGCAATTAGCCCTTGATCTCCATCCTGTGATAAAAAAGAATATATATATATGTATATATAGGTATCTATATTTATCCATATATATATGTCTATTTGCTTTTCTGTGTGTGTGTGTGTGTGTGTGTGTGTGTGTGTGTGTGTGTGTGTGTGTGTGTGTGTGTGTGTGTGTGTGTGTGTGTGTGTGTGTGTGTGTGTGTGTGTGTGTGTGTGTGTGTGTGTGTGTGTGTGTGTGTGTGTGTGTGTGTGTGAGTGTGTGTGAGTGTGTGTGTGTGTGTGTGTGTGCGCGTGTGTGCGTGTGCGTGTGCGTGTGTGTGTGTCTATATATATATATATATGTATATATATATATATATATATATATATATATATATATATATATATATATATATATATATATATATATATATATATATATATATATATATATATATATATATATATATATATATATATATATATATATATATATATATATATATATATATATATATATATATATATATATATATATATATATATATATATATATATATATATATATATATATATATATATATATATATATATATATATATATATATATATATATATATATATATATATATATATATATATATATATATATATATATATATATATATATATATATATATATATATATATATATATATATATATATATATATATATATATATATATATATATATATATATATATATATATATATATATATATATATATATATATATATATATATATATATATATATATATATATATATATATATATATATATATATATATATATATATATATATATATATATATATATATATATATATATATATATATATATATATATATATATATATATATATATATATATATATATATATATATATATATATATATATATATATATATATATATATATATATATATATATATATATATATATATATATATATATATATATATATATATATATATATATATATATATATATATATATATATATATATATATATATATATATATATATATATATATATATATATATATATATATATATATATATATATATATATATATATATATATATATATATATATATATATATATATATATATATATATATATATATATATATATATATATATATATATATATATATATATATATATATATATATATATATATATATATATATATATATATATATATATATATATATATATATATATATATATATATATATATATATATATATATATATATATATATATATATATATATATATATATATATATATATATATATATATATATATGTATATATAAATTATTTATTCATTAATCTATTTATCATATATAAACATACATACATACACACGGACACACATACAAGCACTGAACCAATACATGTATTACAATTTTTTCATCCATACTCCTTAAAGAATGATCTGAAGAAAACAAAACTGAAATGTCTTTTCGCACCTGCAACGTTGCTGGTGCATCATGCAAAGTAGGCCCAGAATTTGTAGTGTCAGATCTGCTCCTTGATCCTTCTCCACGAGTACCAGACACCACACCAAGGGGATCCAGCACCATATACTTTTTGTAGCTGTGAAATATAAAGACACATTATGTGAATATAAGAGAGAGAAAGAGAGAGACAGAGACAGAGAGAGAGACAGAGAGAGAGAGACAGAGAGAGAGAGACACAGAGAGAGAGTCACAGAGATAGAGTCACAGAGAGAGAGACACAGAGAAAGAGAGAGAGACACAGAGAAAGAGAAAGAGAAAGAAAGCAAAAACAGAGAGAGAAAAAAAGAGATAAAAAGAGAAAGAAAAAGAAAGAGCGAGAAAGAGAAAGAGACAGAAGGAGAAAGAAACTTTATAACTTTGCAGTTGGTTCAAGTACTTACGGATTATGGGTTGTGTTATACAGAAGCAGGGAGGAGACTGACGAAAGGTGGGGTGGTAGTCTCCCTAGGCCATCTTCCTGTTTTGTATCCTCCAGGCCCTTTATCTTTCCTGAAGCTCCACGCCTCTCCCGTACATGGTAGAACTGTAGCTTTTCCTATAAGGATAATGTGGTATCATTCAAACACATTCGAAACCTATTCTGTTTTTGTTTTTTGTTTTTCTCTACATTTTGATGATAATTTTGATCATTAGTAAGAGCTTATAATGGTTACTTGCTTCTAGTTTTGTAGATTAATCCCATTTACATAAAAAAGGAAGAAGCAAATACTATACAAATCTTGATCAAGGTAAGCATCACTTCAGAGTCTCAGGTTTAACAACAACAACAATAACAATAACAAAAAAAATAGAATAAAAAATAAAAAAATCTTGTCAGTCTCTACTACCTGCAAAGCTTCTGAATTGTGTACAAAGCCTTCCTTTATCTTCAGTGGGGTGGAGACAAATTCTATGGGATTTTCTCCTTTATGAAGTGGAGTAGAAGGCACATATTTCTCTCCTCCAGGGTACTGAGCACTTGAAAACACCTAAGTCAAATGAAAATATAATTTTGTTTTAATATATTTGTTTAAAACTACTTGCAGTTGTAAATTCTTGTTAAATAACATTTGTATGCATATACAAAATTCAGGTTTCATTCATCATTTCCAACAATTCCTTTCCATAAATGCAGAAAAAAAGTTATACTATGAGATTAAACCAATGAAATGAATCAGGAAAATCAAGAATGTTTCAAATCTGAAGAATGATAGGCTGATATTAAATGCTTCTTTCTTTATGGTCTATTAACTTAATACATGCCAATTCTAGCAAAATGTAAAATATTTCTGACTATCATACTAATATAAAAGCACATAGTCTGCTGTTTCAATGTATTTCATTTACATTGTAATTTGTAACCTTATATAGAAACACATTACCTGTGTTGCCTTGGTAGCCCCAGTTAGTTTATCTACCTTGGCTTGAGCATTAGCTGCCCTTTGTT